CGATCAGATCTATCATGAACCTACCGGTAATAATTTTCCGGACCGGGTAAAGGCGATCAATCATATGGCGATCAATCAATTACGTACGTACTACCAGGGGTCATAATTTAGAGGGGTGTGCAACGCGCACGTTTTTCAGCATCAGGACGAAAAAAAATCTATTCCATCCGTGGTACCAATAAGAAAATTTTAACCCCAAGGATTTTTTTCGATTTCATTTTTACTGCATATCACTGCAAAAAGTGTACCTGAAAGACCCCATGCACAGGAACACTTCTAATCACTCTCTAATTTTCAAACTTCACATACACATCTCTCATATAGTTGAGAGTCAAGTAGTAAGTATATTTTCACTGTTATTGCTGTTTGCGGTTCAGAATTTAAGGTGCTGACACAGGGCTGGTGGTAGTAACAGCCTAGTACTGTATTTGCAGTAGAAATAGTCTGTCCTTTGTCCAGTCAGTCCCACCAGTCTAGTCCTTAGCAAAAATTCGAACTGTCTGTCCTTCATCCGTTTCTCCCACTGATTTCCCACCAGTAGTAATTTCTACTAATAATCTAGTCAATATTCAACAGTGAAAAAGTACACTATCATTCCATTTGATACATAAAATATTGGCATATTCAGAATCCTCATCAAAAATTGGACTAGAGAGTGTACTCAAAAATTCTGATGTTAGTATTTTTGATAATGTTGTTACTGCTTAAAGGTTGGATAGATTTACTAGTATTATGCAGTAAAAATGAAATTGAAAAAAATCCCTGGGGTTAAAATTTTCTTCTTGGTACCACAGATGGAATATGAGTTTTCGATGCGTTGCGCACCCCTCTAAATTATGACCCCTGCGTACTACCCCTGTATGTACGTCACGTAAGTACCTGCTGCAGATTTAGATTTTCTACGGTAGTTRCGTACTTGTAGTACCTAGCCTTGCTAGGGTACCGGTCGTTGTCTACAAGTACTGCTAGTACTACTTCTTACTGCTTCTAGTACWTCGTACAAGTAGTACCGCACCGATAGATACAGGAGTTTGCGTCGTACGGTATCGTATGTACCAAGTACGTACCTTACTGACTTTATTCGTACCGG